TGCTGCTGGTGCTTGGTCCCATGGTCTGGCCTTGCACACAGCTGCAGTAGGCAGCCTCTGCACTGGCAGTATGCAACGGTCCTCCTTAGACCTGATCCGAAGCCCAGAAAAGGTAATGGGGATCTTTCCAGTCAACCTCAGTGGGCTATGGGTCCAGTACTAAGTTACGTTTATGTGTCACTGGTAAAGTTACACATAAAAAGAGAGCCAGCGCTGCTGCTGCTTCTTGGAAAGTGAGAGACAATACAGTTCTTGGCTGTTACGAAGCGAAGATACAGACTGCCTGCACGGCTTTGAGGTGTTTAACCTTCTTCATGAGAGCTGGGTGACTAGCAGCTTGCTAGTTTGGACCCTAATTGACAGAATATACTTGTGACTCTGCATTTAATCATGGTTGCTGATTGGAGTAATTTAATCAAGGAACTGATTAGGATAATTTGGAATGGGCCCCACTGGTGAATGTCAGTAGTTAAGATGGATTGCCCAGTGGAGACAATAGCTAGTAAAAGATAGGGTAGAGGGTAAGCAGTAAATAACTCCCATGTTGTCCGGCACGGGACACTCTAGACTTGTTCACTGAGAGTTCCCTCTCAACTTCTCAGGATGGTGAGAACCCCACAGTCTCAAAATATTCAGACAGGGTAAGCAGTGAGGTGAGGAAGCTTGCCGATGATGCTGCATTATTCAGATCATTGAGGAAAGGGCAGGCTGAAGAATTCTGGAAGGGCCTTGTGAGGCTGAGGTTCTGGACAATAAAATTGTAAATAACATACAGTCTAGGTATACACACAGTAATGTGCATAGGGACAAAAGTGACCAGAACTTCACTGGTGAAATTACTAACTTTGAGCTGACCTATACCATTCAAGAGCAGGGTGCTGATATGGTATATAACTTGATGAAAGCATCGTTTCAGTGCTCAGTAGTGGTCAGATATGTAAATCAAGCATTAGAAATGATTAGGAAAGGCATAGATGATAAAACAGCAAACATTGCCATACTGTGGCGCAAGTCCATGGTTTTCTCTCACCTGTGCAGTTCTGGTCCTCTCATCTCAAAGAGGATATAATAAACATTATTATATGTTTATAATATATAAATTATAGCAATTTATTTTTAATTAAATAAAATTAAATTTTATTTATTATTTAATAAAT